AGGTCCCAGCCCAGGGACCCTGTAGATGTCCGCCACTTGCTGCGTCCCCTCCAATGCTTCAGTTCCTTTCCTTGGGCCACTTCCCTGCAGCCCCAGCACTCTCTTCGCCTTTGCCTCAGGGCTTCAGCCTGCAGATCCTAGCAGCCTGCCAGGAGCTGTCTTTAGCTTCCCTGGTCCCTGCCTGCAGCACTGCTCTGTCCAGGGTGCTGTCTGTCTTCAGCCTGCAAGGCAGTCAGGGCTCCCTCCTCAAGCTCCAGGGAGCAACTGAAGCCTCTGTGCCCTGCAGCTCTTATATGGGCCTGCCCAGCCCTGATTGGCTGCTTCTCACAACCCCTCTCTAATTGGCTGCCTCTTGCACAGCCTCCCTAGGGCTCTATTAACCCCTTACAGGCCAGTGTGGGGCAGACACTCCATCACACTGCCCCTTGCTGAAAACCTGCTGAATCACATCAGCCCTTGCAGTGAATGATGAAGTAGACAGAAGCCCCCCTCCCATCCCCTCAAAATAACATCCGGTTTGCTCTGGATTCCTGCCCCAGCGGCCTCCATCAGACTGGACACTCTGGAAAAGGACACCTGAAATATGACCCAGCTTGGCTTTGCACATGTGGCTAAATCTACCCATTGCCAACTATTCTGACAGATAAACGCCAGAAAAGCAGGATTTGGGATTCTGATCCTGCTTTCAACTGCACCAGTGAGTCAGGAGTAACTCCACTGAGCTGAATGAAGGCGCATTAGTATAAAATGGATCCAAACCAGGCTCCATGGGCCTCATTCTCTGTTGTCCCGCACCTGCCACAGTCATTGCTAAAGGGGTACGAAACGCTGCCACATCAGAGCCTATTTTGCCCCAGTGTAAATAATTACACAAGATACAAGACAGCAGAGATCTGGGCCGTTAGTGTTTTCCATCCTGGTAACTTCCCAAAACTGTGCGATTTGGAAAAGCATCTTAAAAGTGCAGTTCTCTTATGGTTTGGCAGCAGTGCAGATGGGCCGTACTTTTAGCCAAAGCTATTTTTAAGATCATTTCACACTTTCTTTCCATGCTGACATGTGGATGGGGCCACGAACAGAATGGGCCAGTGTTACAATGGGATGAGATATCTGAAGTGGTCTTCTAGGGGGTCTTACAGTGTTCAATTTCCGTTTGGATTCTGGTTCGTTCTGCAGCTACACAGACTGGGGCTGTGATCTTGGCAGACCTCATGCGCTAATCGGTGTGACACTTGGATGGGACTCCTAGGAAGGATGTTGTTGATAATTCTGTAGGTGATGCTCTTCCATCAGGACAGAGCCGGTTCACAAGGATGGTAGCATCGGGTGCTGCTTTGCTGTAGGTGACATCTTCCAAATGAGGCATAAAATCAACGTTCCGATCACTCATGGCCTTTATGGATCCCATGGCATCTTTCTCAAGAGTGACCTGTTACCCCCAGGACCGCGCCAAATTCCAGCGTGTTTGTTTGATGACATTCTGCCTCCTTAAAGTCCGCCGGTGATTCCAAGTGGCCGGTGACCTGCAGTCTAGGGATCCTTCTAGGCTTTCATATAGCACCGGCTGCAGATCCTGGACTCTATCATCTCTGTGCGGGCCACATTTTGGAGGGGGCACCCAGAGCTAGGAATGGCTTCTTCTAGGTTCTGTACTCTGTAAATCTAAAGAAACAAGGCAACCAGTTAGCGTCACGTATGGGGTTGTTTTCTGTGGCGTGGATATTTCCGCAGACATGCTGTTCATGCAGGAGGCTGAAGGCCTTTCACACTCATTGCCAGCAGCACCTACTGAGTATAAGATGGTTTGACTTTATCAGGAATAGGAATGTGTCATTGAGAACTGGCCTTGAGAGGTTGGATCATCCTTGGCCACCATCGGCTGCCCCTTGTTGGTCATGCTGCCCCGCTCGGAGACAGAGTCTCTGAAGATCTGACTTGAGGTCAGGAGAGGGCACTGGCTGGTCATGGAGTGGTGGTGGTCACAGGATTAACTACAGATCAGTCATAGCCCTGTGGAACTCTTAGATGCCTGAAACAAAGCCATACCATGTGGTCATGGACACTCCGTGCTACGGACCTCTGCCGTCCCAGCGCGGTGGTGTGGTTGAAGTTTATGGATGCTGTGTGGCTTAGGAACAAGGTGGGCATGTGATTGCATGGTGACTTGCCCTGTCTGGGCTGGGAACGCAGTGGGGCCTCATTGGGTGAGAAGTTCTAAATCTATTCCCAGCGCTGCTGCCGCCTCGCCGGGTGATATTGGCACGTGACTGTCTGTGCCTCTCTGAACCCCACGGGAAGCAGAGACTGTGTCAAAAGCCTTCATGCAGAAGTTATCGTTTGAGTCCCAAATTCCTTATTGAATGTGTGTAAAGCGCTTTGAGGCTCTCGCAGGGAAGTCCCTAGTGAGCGGCAAAGCAGGACTCTGGCATTGCCAGCCGATGGCGCCCTGCCCTTCGGGAGCTTGCAGCGTTGTAGGTCACTCTCAGTCATTTCCTTTGCTAAAATCCAGTCAGTGGAGCTGGGGGCTGGCCCCTCCCATACAGGAGCGCCGCCATCTTTTTTGCCGCCCTAGGCGGTGGAAGGTGTCCCCCCCCCAAAATACCGCCCCCGACAGAGGCGGCGGAAGGTCCCGCCCCCGAAATACCGCCGACGACTGGGGCAGCCGAAGATCCGGCCGCCGCGGTCACCACCCCCCAAACGTTAGTGCCCTAGGCGACCGCCTAGGTCGCCTAATGGGTTGTGCTGGCCCTGCTCCCGTAGCAGCTCCCTCATCACCTGCACTCTCCTCAGCAAGCTTTCCCCAGTGTTTATCCTTCGGCTCCTCCGCTGCAGCTGTGCCCATTACTGCTTGTGCCCTCCTTGTCGCTGAACGAGAACAGCTGACTGATCCCTGCCATTCTCATGTCCCTTTGCACTGACCCTCTTAGCGTTTTCCTGCTGGTTACAGTCTCCAACTTGTCACCCCGGCCTCAGCCCGACTAGCAGAATCGTCACCTGGCATCTCTTCTGCACAGTGCCTTAGAAAATGCAGCTGTGAACACAGCCATTCATTATTGTCATTTAATTGTAGGCATGTTAAGCCTTTTCCAGCAATTTCTGTGAGTCACAGGAAGTCAGGCTCCTGGGCTGAGATCTGGTTACTGTCTCCCCCACAGACAGGGCCTGAACACTTGTTGAGTTGCTAACTCCGTATTCAAGTGACTCGGAAAGTCACTTCTAGGGCCTTATCAGCAGCTGACAGTGGCTAAGTGGGCTGATCAGAAGCAGGCTGAATGAGGCACTGAAGTGCTTTAAAGGGGCTAGGGCAGATTAATGAAAACCATACTTTAAAAAACAAGGACAAGACATTTCCTTACCAAGGTCACCCTGGACACCCCGAATCTGAAAAGCCCAGCGTCCGTTTCACTCTTTCGACTGATTGTGCTGATTCCTCCCTCTCTCCTGCTCGGCACACGGCCAGGCTGTGTGACCTCCTCCTCCGTAGCACCTCAAAGAGCCAGCCTTTTCTCTCTGGTCTCGCAGCCGGGCCCTCTTTATCTCCCATCTTGGTAACTGTAACTTCCCTCTCCCTGACGTCCAACCTGCACCACTCCATTCAAAACACGGCTGCTCAGATCATCTTCTTGTTCCATTACTCCAGCAGCATCAGCTGCCCTTTGAATCCCTCCGCTTACTCCCCATTGCATGGCAACAGGTGCAAGTTCTTGTCCTCGTCTCCAACATGGTAGCCATGGAGCAAGCACTCAAGGGGCCAGGCTCAGGGGTCTTTGCCTCCAGGTCAGCTAGCCCTGCTCAGAACAGCTTTTCATGGCCTGGTGATCCAAACCCTGAACCCAGTATGTGCTGAAACGCTGTCAATTCCAGTGCAGATGTCCCCTGAACAGGGTTCCCTGGTCTCTTACTGCATCCCGATAGGGCATTTGCTTTTCCATGACAACGTCACATTGGACTTTACATGTGTCTGGACTGAAATCAGTACTGGGAGGCCCAGAAAGTCCTGAGTTGTAGTCTCTACTCTGCCACTGCCAAGTCACTTAGCCCAACATTTTCGAAAGGAACCAGTACTAATTTGGGGGGCCTGACCTGCTTTTTGAGAGGAGATGAGCATCTCTGATCCCAGCTGAAGCCAATGGCAGCTGCAGATGCTCAGCAGCACATTTCTGAATCTCTAGGTATGTAGAGTCGGGGACCCCAACATGGAAGCACTCAAAATCTACAGCCAGCAGGGCCGGCTCTGGCTTTTTTGCCGGGGGGGGGGCGGCCGGAGCCCCTGGGGGAGGGCGGCGAGCCCCGGCGGCGGCTCCGGTCTCCCCCCCGGCGGCCAGAGCGCCGGGGGCAGGGCGGCGAGAGGGCGGCGAGCCCCAGCTGGGGCTCGGCTCTCCCCCCCGGCGGCCAGAGCGCCGCGCCGCCCCCCTCCAGGTGCCGCCCCAAGCACCAGCTTGGGTGCTTGGTGCCTGGAGCCGACCCTGACAGCCAGTTTTGAACATTGTGAGTGGTATTTTCAAACGCACCTACATGACTTTCAGTGGGACTTGTGCTCCCACATCTCTCGGTCACGTTTGAAAACCCCATTGTTTGGCCGTCACCTCTGTGCCTCAGTTTCCCTATCTGTACATGTGGGTAGTAAAGACCTATCTCGCGGGGTGGAGGGAGGTTAATGAGGTAATGTTTGCATGTGATTTGCAAATGGCAAGTGCTGTAGCAATGCTCAGCATTCTGACCAGTTTCAGCCCGTTGTTCCCCATCAGCAAGCCGGAGTGGGATATTCATTCTGTCCTTCAAAGTAGCTGCGATCCCTCCTGTCTTCCTACCACCCACAAAACTGATCGGTCCCTACTCTGCTCCCCCCTCCAAGGAGGTATATTCCACTTGCCACAGCAAGGCAGGAGCTGCAAGGTCAGGTGGCCGTCCCCCCTGGTTAGCCCGTGGCTCCTTTCCTGTGTGTGCATGTGAGAGAAATGTTCTAATTCCTCCCCATCTCCCTTCTTCTCCTGCCCTAGGCGATGGAGAGCAAGCTGCTGATAGGAGGGAGGAACATCATGGACCACACAAATGAGCAGCAGAAGATGCTGGAGCTGAAGAGGCAGGAGATAGCCGAGCAGGTAAAGACTGCTTTGGGAGATGGCTGAGCAGGGCTGACACTGGATAGTAAACATAAGAACAGCCACACTGGGTCAGACCAATGGTCCATCTAGCCCAGTAGCCTGTCTTCCGACAGTGGCCAGTGCCAGGTGCCCCGAGGGAATGAACAGACCAGGGAATCATCAAGTGATCCATCCCCTGTCGCCCATGCCCAGCTCCTGGTAAACAGAGGCTAGGGATACCATCCCTGCCCAGCCTGGCTAATAGCCATTGATGGACCTGTCCTCCATGAACTTATCTAGTTCTTGTTTGAACCCTGTTCTAGTCTTGGCCTTCACAACATCCTTTGGCAACATCCAGAGGTCCCTAAAGACTTGTGCTGGCACCATCCTTGATGTCAGAGACTGGCAATAGATGATGCCTGAATCAGTTATATATACTGCATATATTTATAGGATAGGTCACGGGTCCTTAGTGAACTTGACAACACATCTGGCCCTGAGTAACTGAGTCATATAGTTAGGTGACGTGTATAAAAGGAGTTGCCAGACTCAGTCCAGTTCCCAGTGGACAGTGCCCAGATACCACAGTGATGGGCACCCAGCAGAATACCACCGGTCAGACAGAACGCACTGCAAACCAAATTAAGGAGCTGTGTTTAAACTCAGTCCACTTAGGTGGTATCACCGTTTGGTCCCATTCACAGTGCCAAGGCAAGTGTGGGACAGCAGAAGCCATACACAAGTACAGCTGCTTCATTCTGTCCCTGGCTCGGTCTAGCTTGATTCGAGGAGATCCCGTTGTAGGGAAAGGGGAGGTCTGTAGGCTTTGGCGTGGCTCATCTCGACAATCCCTCGTCTCTGGGCCAAGACAGCGAATGTGACTGTGAGTTGTGGCGGTGTTGGCCGTGCTGTGGGCCGGAAAGGGGCTATCAACTCACCATCTGATGCGAATGATTTTCAGTCACTACAACCCGGCCAGCCATTGAGCTGGACACCCTGAGATGAAATGCTCCAAATCACATCCCCCTCCATTGTAAAATTTGCATATAACTACCCATCATGCTCTGCAGGCCAGCAGGATGATTTTGATGCGGGGGGGGGGGGGGGTCGTTCCTGTTACTGACTCTTTCTTGTTCAATTGGGTTTGGTGTTTTTCCCGGATGCAGAAACGTCGGGAGCGGGAGATGCAGCAGCAGATGCTGCTGCGGGATGAGGAGACCATGGAGCTGCGGGAGACCTTCACGTCTCTGCAGCAGGAAGTGGAGATCAAAACCAAGAAGCTGAAGAAGGTGAGAGGCTGCCTGTGCTGGGACACAGCTGTGGGGAGCCAGTCTCAGGCTGGGTTTCTTTTTAATGACACTACAAGGTGAATTTACTGTTGTGCTGAAACTGGGAGGGAGGGGTGTGGGTTTGTCTTGCTTCCTGTGAACCTAGCACTTGCAGGAAAAGTAGTGTCTAGGGTTGCCACTTCTGTAATTGCTGGTAACTGGACCCCTGAGGCCCTGCCCCTACCCCACCTCTTCCCCCAAGGCCCTGCCCCTTCTCTGCCTCTTCCCCCAGGCCCCAGCCCCTTCTCCTCCTCTTCCCCCAGGCCCAGCCCCCACTTGCTCCTCTCCCCACACCCCCTTTGCTCACTGAATCATCTCAAGGAGCCTGCCTGCAGGTAGGAGGTGAGCAGGGGCTGGTGCGGGTTAATGATCCAGCACCGTCCCTCACCCTGCAGAAACTGGACTTTTGGTTCGGGTGCCAGGTCGCCTTTTCAACCAGACTTTCTGGTCGAAAACCAGGCACCTGGCGATCCTAAATGGCACCCGGCCACAGAAGCCAAAACCAGCCTGTCCAGGTAAAACCCAGACAGGTGGCAATCCGAGCAGCGTCCCTGATTGCATCTGGGCTGCAGTAGGTCCATGACGCCTTTGTGACATCGTGGCATGACGTTTTCAGTGCATGCCTAGAGCCATGTCCTCACCCAGGTGAGCCAGGCAGCTCAGACCTGGGGAATGTATTGCACATTGGGACCTGCCGTCTCCACAGGCCCCTCAGATCAAGGTGGAACATAGAGTGCTGGAATCATAGCTGCTGTCAGTCACCATCGCCAGCTGGGGATCTGTCCCGAAGCCCTTGCAAGACTCACCTTTGTAATAAAGGGGCAGCCCACTTCATTTAACCACATCCGGCGCATGCGCAGTATTCAGGCTCCTGCAAATGTTCTGTGTGGCTTAATGTTGGATGAACTTTGGGCGACCAGTGTGGAGACCCTAGGGAGACCCATTTCTCAGGTCTTTTGGGGATACCGTGAGTAAATGACTTTGCTTTTCACATGGGATGAGACCTCAGGCCACAGCCTAGAAGCTGCTGCCTGGACCGGTGCTAACAGAAGCTCTTTCTTGGTGTCCCAGCTGTATGCCAAGCTGCAGGCGGTGAAGGCAGAGATTCAGGACCAGCATGATGAGTACATCAGAGTGCGGCAGGACCTGGAGGAAGCGCAAAACGAACAGACACGGGAACTTAAACTCAAGTAAGTATCTCCTCACCTTAATGGGAAATGCGGGATACAAGCCCTGCCAACCACGCGACCATTCTGACAGAAAAGGCAGAACTATTCCGAAAGAAGCAGGATGAGGTGTTCCAATGTTTACAGTGATAATGAAATAAACATCCTCTTCCTTCAGTAACGAAGGAGGATGTTACTCAGCAGCTAGTCAAGTCAAAGGTTTTTAAATCTGCAGGACTGGATCACTTGCACCCAAGAGTGTTCAAATAATTAGCCGCGGAGCTTCCTGACCCAGGAATGTTCATTTTTCCAAAGCTTGGAACACTGGGGAAGGAAGAAAGCGAATGTTGTGCTAATCTTTTAAAAGGGTAAATGGGATACCCGTGGTAACCGTCGACCTGTAGGCCTGACGTCAACCCTGGGAAGACTCACGGAAAGGCTGATGGGGTCTCACTCAGTAAAAAAATGAAAGGCCGGGAGCATAATTAATGCCACTTAGCGTAGTGGTCTTAGCGTAGGGGAAAGTAGATCTTGTCAGACAAACCCACTATCGTTTTTTGATGAGGTCACAAGTTGGGTTGATAAAGGTAGCCGTGTTGATAGAATAAACTTAAACCTCTATAAGGTGTTTGACTTAGTCCCACGCGATTTTCTGATTTTAAAATATAGCATTATTCAAAATCCGGGTAGCCAAGTAAAATGGATTAAAAACTGATTAACTGAAGGATTTCAAAAAGTAACTAAATGAGGACTCCTCCTCCCAGGGAATGTTTCTTGTGGGGTCCCACAGCGATCTGTTCATGGCCCAAAGCTATTCAATGTCTTTATCAACCATGTGGGGGAAAATATAAAATCATTAGTGGTAAAATCTCTAGAGGACACAAAAATTGGTGTGGTGAGGACAGCTCAGGTATAAAACCAACCTGGATCACTTGGTAAGATGGGCTCATTTGGACAGCATACGTTTTAGTACCACCAAATGCAAGGTCATACAGCTAGGAACAAAGAATGTCGGTCACTCTTGCAAGATGGAGGATTGTGTCCTAGAATGCAGCGATGCTGAAAAAGGCTTAGGTGTCATGGCAGAGAACCAGCTGAACATGAGCTTCCAGTGCAATGCTGGAGCTAGCTGGTCATGCAATCCTTGGATGTATACGCAGGGGAATATCCAGTAGAAGTACAGCATTAGTGAGACCGTTACTAGATACTGTGGCCAGTTCTGTCCGTGCTTCAAAAAGAATGTTGAAAAATTGGAAAGGGTTCAGAAAAGACCTACAAGAATCATTCAACGTCTGAAAAACCTGCGTTATAGCAAGAGATTTGAGAAGCTCAGTCTAACTAGTTTATCCAGATTGAGAGGAGACTTGATCAGTTTACAAGTACCTACACGAGGAAGAGATTTCTGATCGTAGGCAGCTCCTTAATCTAGTAGAAAAGGCATAATGAGATCCAAGGGTTGGAAGCTGAAGCCAGACAAACTCAGATGAGAATTAAGGTGCAAATTTTTAACAGTGGGGATAATTAACCATTGGAACCACGTATCTCGGGATGTGGTGGATGCCCCATCACTCGAAGTCTTTAAATCAAGACTGGATCTCTTTCAGAACTGCTTTAGCTCAAATAGAGGTTCTTGATGCAAGAATCACTGGGTGAGGCTCTTTTCCTGTGTTATGCAGGAGGTCAACTAGAGGATACGAATGCTCTTCTCTGGCCTTAAAATCCAGAGTCCACAAGACTCACGAGGAGGCCCTTGCAAATCAAAAGATGAGGGTAGCTGTATGGGCAGGCTTTACGCTGGGGCACAGAGTGGGACGAATTAATTACCCTGGAGCAGGGAAGAATCCGTGTCTCATCTGTGGATGGACATTGGGGGTTTTTGCATGTAAATTAGGTGAGTGTAAATGGACGTGCATGAGCACGTGGGTCTGACTTTCAAAATCTGGCTCAAGTGGGGCCGATAAAAAGCAACGTTGGTGCTAGACCCCGTGTGTTCATATCCTGAGGAAGACGCTAGATCCATAGCCCCGGTCAACGCCATGCTACGGGTTGGGGAAAGACCCAAGTATGAGTTAATGAGCTTTCCTTGTAGCGTGTTAATAACATTCAGACAGTGCTTTGGTATAAAGTGCTATACAATACGTGCTAAGTAGGTCTGTCAAGTGATTAAAATAATTAATCACGATTAATCACACTGTTAAACAGTAATAGAATACCATTCATTTAACTATTTTTGGATGTTTTCTACATTTTCAAATATGTTGATTTCAATTATAACACACAATACGAAGTGTACAGTGCTCACTTTATATTTATTTTTGATGACAAATATTTGCAAATAGTATTTTTCAATTCCCCCATTAGAAGTGCTGTAGTGCCATCTCTTTATCATGAAATTTGAATTTACAAATGTAGAATTATGTACAAAAAAATAACTGCATTCAAAAATAAAACAATTTAAAACTTTAGAGCCTACAAGTCCACTCAGTCCTATTTCTTGTTCAACCAATCGCTGAGACAAACAAGTTTGGTTACAATTTGCAGGAGATAATGCTGCCCACTTCTTGTTCACAATGTCACCTGCAAGTGAGAACAGGTGTTCGCATGGCACTGTTGTAGCTGGTGTCGCAAGATATTTACATGCCAGATGCGCTAAAGATTCATATGTCCCTTCATGCTTCAACCACCATTTCAGGGGACGTGCATCCATGCTGATGACAGGTTCGGCTCGATAACAATCCAAAGCAGTGCAGACTGACGCGTGTTCATTTTCATTATCTGAGTCAGATGCCACCAGCAGAAGGTTGATTTTCTTTTTTGGTGGTTCGGGGTCTGTAGTTTCCGCATCGGAGTGTTGCTCTTTTAAGACTTCTGAAGGCATGCTCCACACCTCGTCTCTCTCAGATTTTGAAAGGATCTTCAGCTTCTTAAACCTTGGGTCAAGTGCTGTAGCTATCTTTAGAAATCTCACATTGGTACCTTCTTTGTGTTTTGTGAAATCTGCAGTGAAAGTGTTCTTAAAACGAACAACATGTGCTGGGTCATCATCCAAGACTGCTATAAGATTAAATATATGGCAGAATGCGGGTAAAGTAGAGCTGGAGACAAACAATTCTCCCCCAAGGAGTTCAGTCACAAATTTAATTAATGCATTATTTTTTTAACGAGCGGCATCAGCATGGAAGCATGTCCTCTGGAATGGTGGCCAAAGCATGGAGCATACGAACGTTTCGCATATCTGGCATGTAAATACCTTGCAATGCCGACTACAAAAGTCCCATGCGAACGCCTGTTCTCACTTTCTGGTGACACTGTAAATAAGAAGAGGGCAGCATTATCTCCTGTAAAACAAACTGGTTTGTCTGAGCAACTGGCTGAACAAGAAGTAGGACTGAGTGGACTTGTAGGCTCTAAAGTTTTGCATTATTTTGTTTTTGAGTGCAGTTATGTAACGAAAAAAAAAATCTACATTTGTAAGTTTCTCTTTCCTGATAAAGAGATTGCACTACAGTACTTGTATGAGGTGAATTGAAAAATACTGTTTCTTTTGGTTATCATTTTTACAGTACAAATATTTGTAATAAAAAATAATAATATAAGGTGAGCAGGGGACTGGCAGAGTTATTGTCCAAAAACAAAACTTACAGGAAATGCTATGTCTCTTTTCTCTGATTGATATGCTCTGTCTCTTTCTGTCCCCATCTCTGTCTGTCTGGCTGTATTTCTCTCTGTGTGATCTTTGGTTCTGTCATTTTATCCTATTTTTACCCATTCCTCTTCCCCTTTGCTCTCATGTTTCCCTCTCCCATTTCTCTGTGTGTCTGCCCATCCTCCCCCCATCTCTCTCTCCTCTTTTCCCAACACTTTGCCTCTTCCCACCTTTTTCTCCCATTCATCTCCCCCTTTCTTTATTCTCACTCCCTCGCCCCTTTTGTCTTGCCCCCACCACTTGCTCACTCCGTCCCCCTCTTACCCCGGCTCTTGCTCAGATACTTGATCATTGAGAACTTTATCCCTCCTGAAGAGAAGAACAAGATCATGAACCGCCTGTACTACGACTGTGAGGAGGACCAGTGGAAGTTCCAGCCGCTCGTGCCTGCTGGGGGGTAAGGCTGCAGTTCTGGGAGAGGAGGCCTGGCCTACCGCTGGGGTGTTTTTCTGAGGCACTGGTAGTGCCCCCTCATGGCTGCAGGAGGGAGGATGCTGAATGGGGAGGATTAGCAGTTGGAATGGAAGAGCAGGCGGAAGCCCAGCGGGCCAGGGACAGCCTGTCCGTTACTGAGTTACTGTCTCGCAGAGCAGAGAACCCTCCTTAACTCCGTAACACGTTGTCACTGTCCAGCTGCAGCCTCACAAAACACCTCCTGAGGGGTGAATTTGGCCCAGAGTCTCAGAGGGGAGTGCTCCGAAGAATGGGCCCTGCCAGAAAAGAACAGCCTCTGGCTGCAGTGTGGGGACACAGCCTCCGCTTCCCGCCCCCGCTCTGCCCCCGCCCCGCCTCTTCCCACCCAGTTCCGCCCCCTCCCACCCCAGCACCTCCTGCCCGCCGCGGAACAACTGATCGCGGCAGGCGTGAGGCGCTGGGAGGGACAGAGTGGAGTGGATCGGCGGAGCCGCCGGTGGGCAGGAGGCGCTGGGGGAGAAGGGGGAGCGGGTTGCCAGTGGGTGCTAAGCAGCCGCTAAGTTTTTTCCATGGGTGCTCCAGCCCTGGCGCCCCACGGCGTCGGCGCCTCTGTATGGTACCAACCAGCTTTGTGTCTAGCATGTTGTGCCCATGTCAGGCAGCAGAGCGGTGACCTCACTGCCGGTAGGAGAAAAGCTCTGCCAGTTGCCCTGTTCTTGTAATAAAAGGCCTGAACCCTCTAGCTCGTGGCCACGGCACTGCAGGGCATGGGGAGGTTAGGGCAGGAGAGTTAAGGTGGGCAGCTGAGGTAGCTACCTGACCCCTCTCTGTCTGAGGAGACGCTGCTGCTTTCCCGCTGCTCAGCCCTGCTCGGCGCTGGCTAGGTAGCGCTCCGTGGGACCTGGGAGTGCCAGGGCCACGTGACGGAGCAGTCTGGAGAGAGCAAAAAGCCTTGCAGCTCCATCCCCCTCGCCAGAGAGGCCGCGAGGCCAAGGACAGGGCTTCAAACTTTTCCAGTGTTTTGTTCACTTCTTATGCTTGAGATCCTGTCGGACACCTCCCCCACCCTCCTCATGATCTCGGCTCCTTCCTCTTCTTCCCACCCCATTTGCCAAGCCCTGGGGGGGACCCACTGTCTTATAACCCTCCCCCCATCCTCCCTGCACTCATACACTGAAACTCAATGGCCTGATCTGCTCGGCTCCTTCTCCCAGTGGGTGCTCAGCTGCTGGGGTTTCTCTTGACAGGAGCTGCCGCATCAACCAGCATCTCTTCCCTGCCAGCCATGGGCAGCGGGTAATGGAGGCTGTGGGAGGCTAAGACTCTCCAAACCTCTGCTAACGCTCCCCACTGCACCCCCAAGGCTGGGCCGTGGCAGGGCCCAGAGGTCCTATGGGCGGCCCGGACTCACGGCTCGGCCCCGGCTGGCCGGCCAGGGCTCGGGCTCCTCCGGGCTGCTCCAGGCACCGATGGGCCAGCTGGGGCTCTGGACTGCTCTGGTCACCAGCAGGCCAGCCCGGGCTCGCGACTGCGCCGGCAGCCTGGCCGCTCAGAGCGGGGAGTGGAAGGGGTTGGGGGCAGAGCCTTGGGCAGAAGGGACGGAGCAGGGTGGGGCCTTGGGCAGAAGAGGCAGGGCAGGGGGCTAGCTTTCCCAAATGGGGAGTGCATGTGCCCCCATGCTGCCAGCCCTCATGATCAACCAGTGCTCCAGTCCGCACGGATATACTCCATGGGCCGCACAATGTGAGAACCAGTGATTAAGGCTAATGCAAAACTGATGACTCAGGGAAAGCAGACACACTCTGCATAGGCAGATTTGATGTTTCTGACTCAGGTATTTATTTATTTAGGCTTGGCAGAATGTTAATCGTTTTATCATGTTGATGGATATTACCGGTTTGTGTTTACGATATTTCTTGATTTAAATTTTCGCAGTTGTGGAAAATTATGCGGGGAGCAGACAGTGGGGGCTCAGACAGTGAGGGCTTCATGACAGTTGACACTGAGATTCAAACAGTTAAAGCTTTCTAACCATGACAACACAACTTGTCAACATCACATGCCAAAATAGCCAGAGTCAATAGCCTTACGTCAAACTCGTAAGTTCTCAAGCAGCATCTTTCTGACTTTGCTGATCTGCAAACCTCAGTTATCATCCCTGGAAATATTTTTCATCGATGTGTCTGTTTGCGGTGAAATTGACGTTTACCGGCACCTGTCGATAAAAGGCTAATCCTTCCCAGCCTATATTTATTGGAGGCCAAGGGGGCTAGCTTGGCTGACCCAGAACATCCCTGGCTCTTCTGCCTGTGATCCCAGTGATGGACAAGCCTCAGGAGGTTTGGAGGTTCTTGGATGAGCCCCACAAGCTTCTCCAAATCTCCCTTCTTTGCCCTCCCTCTGGCCCCCTTGGCTTTCAACTTCCCAACCCAGCAAGCACCCTCTTTGGTGATCTTCCTATCCAGGGATTCACAGGTCACAACTTCCTGAGTGAGCCTGTTCCTCTGCCTGATAATCTATTCCAGTGCTGTGTTACTCAGCCGCAAGGGTCCTGTACTAGTTTCCGTCCCGCTGCTGTTAGCCGTAGCCCCTTCGACCTCCCCCCAAATTCCTCTGGTTGCGAAAGGCTGACACCTTTCATCCCTGTAGATGGTCTTTGTTAAGGATGTGCAGTAGAAGTGGAACCCTCAGCTCCCCACCACACCTTGGGCACAGAACAGGAAGGAAGGGAAGACCAACTCTGCAGAAATTGACATCCATTTAGAGAGACCGAGGCAGCCAATTCCACGCTTTGTCTGGATTTATTTTTAGTGGATCATTTTATGTGGTAAAAATGTTTATTATAACTCTCTCCTTAGCAGCAACAACCAAATGAAGAAGAGGCCAACCTCTGCCGTGGGCTACAAGAGACCCATCAGCCAGTATGCGCGGGTGGCCATGGCCATGGGATCCCACCCTAGGTACCGGGTGAGTGCGGGAGCTGAAGGGAGGGGTGGAGTGAAGTCATTGCGTGGACGGATGGGAAACCAGTGGAACCGGTGTACGGCTGGGTGAATTGATGGAGGGAATGATGGAATCAAGGTAACGGGTCCTCTGAGAGTGGAAATGTGGTGGCTCTTTTTTCTGGGCTCTAAGGGGTCCTATCAGCAGGAAGAGAAGTTTAGCTTTGTGAAGCAGAGCAGCTGGATGGAGCATGTTCGAGGTCTGGCTTTGAAGAGCATCTCTAAGCTTGTGGGGGTGGGGAGGGGTTATCATCCACCCGGCGACTACGCTCGTTGGCCTGGGAAGAAGAGCTCTGTTTGACAGGCCAAAGGAAGCCAGCTACCCCTCCAAGCCATGCTAAGCTCTTCATAGTTTGCACTGTCTGCCTCCAGGTGAGGGGAAAGGTGCCACGGAGCAGGCTTACACCCACAGCATCTCCCCCACAACCCTGCCAGGCAGATTCACCAACAGAGGTATCTTCGCCCACCCCCACCAGTCCTCTCATGGATCAGTAACTGGCTACAAGTCAGGAAAGAAAGGGTAGGAATAAGCAGTCAGTTTTCAGAGAGGTAAATAGCAGGTCCCCCAGGGGTCCGTACCAGCCCCAGTGCTGTTCAACGTACGCCTCATCAATTATCTGGAAAAAGGGACAAACAGTGAGGTGGCAAAATTGGAAGATGATACAAAACTACTCCAGATAATTCAAAGCTGACTGCGAAGATACAAAGGGATTTCACAGAACTGGGTGACTGGACAACAAAATGGCAGCTGAAATTCAGGGTTGACAAGTGCAAAGTAATGCAAAGTAATGCACATTGGAAAACATAATCCCAAGGATACTTATAAAATGATGGGGTCTAAATTAGCTCTTACCACTCAGGAGAGAGATCTTGCAGTCATTGTGGACAGCACATTGATTGCAGCTGCAGTCAAAAAAGCTAACAGAAAAGACGGTTACTCACCGTTGTAACTGTTGTTCTTCGAGATGTGTTGCTCACATCCATTCCAGTTAGGTGTGTGCGCGCCGCGTGCACGATCGTCGGAAGATTTTTACCCTAGCAACACCCGGTGGGTCGGCTGTGGAGCCCCCTGGAGTGGCGCCGTTATGGCGCTGGATATATACCCCAGCCGACCCAGCGCCCCCTCAGTTCCTTCTTGCCGGCTACTCCGACAGTGGGGAAGGGGGGCGGGTTTGGAATGGATGTGAGCAACACATCTCGAAGAACAACAGTTACAACGGTGAGTAACCGTCTTTTCTTCTTCGAGTGCTTGCTCACATCCATTCCAGTTAGGTGACTCCCAAGCCCCACCTAGGAGGCGGGGTCGGAGTGAGACATTGCTGTGTGCAGAACCGCTGACCCGAAAGCAGCATCGTCTCTGGATTGTTGCACCAGCGCATAGTGAGTAGCGAACGTGTGGACCGATGACCACACTGCGGCTCTACAGATGTCCTGGATAGGGACTTGAGCTAGGAAGGCCGTCGAGGAGGCCTGGGCTCTCGTGGAATGAGCGGTGAGGCGTGGCGTCGGTACACCGGCCAGGTCGTAGCAAGCACGAATACAGGACGTGATCCAAGAGGACAGGCACTGTGAAGAGACCGGTGAGCCCTTCATCCGGTCGGCCACGGCAACGAAGAGTTGCGTCGTCTTCCTAAATGGCTTTGTACGGTCAATGTAGAAAGCCAGGGCCCTGCGAACGTCCAAGGAATGTAAACGCTGGTCTTGACGAGTGGCGTGTGGTTTCGGATGGAAGACCGGGAGGAATATATCCTGGTTCACATGGAAAGGTGAAACCACCTTGGGAAGAAAGGCCGGATGGGGGCGAAGCTGCACCTTGTCCTTATGGAACACCGTGTAAGGGGGCTCGGACGTCAGCGCCCTGAGTTCGGAGACGCGCCGTGCTGAAGTGATGGCTACGAGGAAGGCTGTCTTCCAGGATAAGTACAGGAGTGAGCAGGTCGCCAATGGTTCAAACGGAGGCCCTGTGAGCCTGGAGAGCACGAGGTTGAGGTCCCACGCCGGAACCGGCTGTCTTTGCTGTGGGTACAGCCGATCTAAGCCCTTGAGGAATCTAACGACCATCGGGTTAGAGAAGACCGAGGACGTGAGTTCTCCTGGGTGGAAAGCTGAAATAGCGGCGAGGTGAACCCTGATTGAAGATATCGCCAAGCCTTGCTGTCTAAGGGACAGGAGATACTCTAGAATAAAAGGGATAGGTGCCTGCAAGGGAGACGTAGCTCGTTGCTCACACCAACAGGAGAACCTCTTCCACTTGGCTAAATAAGTGGTCCGCGTAGAGGGCTTTCTACTTCCCAGCAGGACCTGCTGGACGGCCTGCGAGCATTGCCGCTCTGAGCGACTCAACCATGAAGCATCCACACCGTGAGGTGGAGCGACTGCAGGTCGGGGTGACACAGCCGGCCGTGGTCCTGAGAGATGAGATCCGGACTCAAGGGGAGCGTGATCGGCCTCTGTACTGACAGCTCCAGCAGTGTGGTGTACCAGTGCTGTCTTGGCCAAGCGGGAGCGACTAGAATTACCCGTGCCTGGTCCCTGCGGATCTTGAGCAGCACCCTGTGGACCAGCGGGAATGGAGGAAAGGCGTAGAACAGATGGTCTTTCCATGCCATGAGGAAGGCGTCTGACCGAGAGCCTGGGGCTCGCCCGTGTAGGGAGCAGAATGCCTGGCACTTCCTGTTGGCCCGAGATGCGAACAGGTTGATCTGGGGAAACCCCCACCTCTGGAAGACGGAATAGATGATGTCCGGGCGAATCGACCACTCGTGCGTCTGGAAGGACCTGCTGAGACGGTCCGCCAGCGTATTCTGGACTCCAGGCAGGAATGATGCCGTGAGATGTATCGAGTGGGCGATGCAGAAGTCCCACAGGCGAATGGCCTCTTGGCATAGGGGAGATGAGTGGGCTCCGCCTTGCTTGTTGATGTAAAACATGGCCGTGGTGTTGTCGGTGAGAATCAGCACGCAACGGCCCTGTAGGAAGTTGAGAAAAGCCTGACAAGCCAGGCGCACCGCCATCAGCTCTCGGACGTTGATGTGCAGGGCTAGTTGGGACGCGGACCACAGGCCTTGGGTATGGTGCTCCCCCAGGTGAGCGCCCCATCCTAGAGATGAAGCGTCCGTAACTAGGTGGAGGGAGGGCTGTGGGGCGTGAAAGGGCACTCCTGCACAGACCACCGTGCGATCCGTCCACCAGGTGAGGGAGGCCAAGACCGAGGCCGGAACCGTGACCACCATGTTCAGGTCGTCTCGATGAGGACGGTAAACCGATGACACCCAAGTCTGCAGTGGGCGAAGTCGCAGCCTGGCGTGCCTGGTTACGTAGGTGCACGAGGCCATGTGGCCCAAAAGGGCAAGGCATGTCCTTATGGTGGTAATTGGAAAGGCCCTGAGTCCTTGAATGACGCTTGAGATGGTATGAAAGCGGCTGTCTGGCAGGATGGCTCGGGCACGTCTGGAGTCCAGGATTGCTCCAATGAACTCTATTCTCTGAGTTGGTACTAGAGTGGACTTCTCTCTGTTGAGTAGAATGCCCAGCTCGTGGAAAGTGTGTGTCACTATGTGGACATGAGCCTGAACTTGGTCCCTGGTGCGGCCGCGTACCAGCCAGTCGTCCAAGTACGGGAACAGCTGTATCCCTTGTCGACGAAGGAAGGCCGCGACGACTGCCAGACACTTTGTGAACACTCTGGGAGCCGAGGACAAGCCGAAGGGAAGGACTGCAAATTGGTAGTGCACCCTGTTTACTACAAATCGCAGGAAGCGCCTGTGGGGCGGATAAATCGCTATATGGAAATAAGCGTCCTTCATGTCGAGGGCGGCGAACCAGTCTCCAGGATCCAGTGAAGGGATGATGGTCCCCAATGATACCATGCTGAACTTCAACTTTACTATGAATTTGTTGAGTCCGCGCAAGTCTAGAATGGGCCGTAGACCCCCTTTCGACTTGGGTATCAGGAAGTAGCGGGAATAAAACCCCCTGCCCCTTAGCTCCGATGGAACCTCCTCTATGGCCCCCATAGCAAGGAGCCCAAAAACCTCCTGTGTAAGGAGTTGCTCGTGAGAAGGGTCCCTGAAGAGGGACGGGGAGGGGGAGTGGGAGGGGGGGGCGAGGAAAACTGGAGGGCGTATCCCCTCTCCACCGTGCGAAGGACCCAGCGGTCCGATGTTATAAGAGACCAAGCACGGTGGAAACAGGAGAGGCGATCCCGGAAGGGGGGAACCGAATCCTGGAAGCCGGTTGAGGTGCCGTCCTCGACCGCACCTTCAAAAGGTTTGCCTAGGCCCTGAAGGTGGCCTAGGCTGGCCCTGGTTCTGACCGGGTTGAGGGCCGGTCGACCTTCGCCTACCGCCTCGACCCCGCCTCCTAGCAAAGTCCTGTCTTGGACGAGGCGGGGGAGGGTAGAACCGCTGAGGCTGGGCCTGAAGGGTCTGCGCTGAGGCCCTGGGACATGCATCCCCAGGGAGCGCATCATTGTCCGGGAGTCTTTGAGATTTTGGAGCCTAGAGTCCGTCTTCTCCGAAAAGAGGCCCTGGCCCTCAAACGGAAGGTCCTGCAGGGTCTGCTGCAGTTCAGGTGGCAAGCCTGACACCTGGAGCCAGGAGATTCGCCGCATTGCTATCCCCGACGCCAGGGTCCTAGCGGCCGAGTCCGCTATGTCAAGGGAGGCCTGCAGGGAGGTGCGTGCCACCCGCTTGCCCTCCTCTACCAAGGCCCCGAACTCTTCCCTCGATTCCTGGGGAACCAGCTCTTTAAATTTCCCCATCGAGGACCACGAATTAAAGCTGTAGCGGCTCAGGAGCGCCTGCTGATTCGCCGCCCGCAGTTGCAGTCCGCCAGCCGAATAGACCTTGCGTCCGAACAAATCGAAGCGCTTAGCGTCCTTCGATTTGGGCGCAGCAGCCTGCTGGCCATGGCGCTCCCGTGCATTAACTGACGAAACCACCAGTGAGCACGGTTGGGGGTGAGTGTACAAGTACTCATGTTCCTTGGAGGGCACAAAGTACTTCCTCTCAACCCCTCTGGCCGTGGGCGGAATAGAGGCCGGGGTTTGCCAGATGGTGGTGGCGTTCGCCTGAATAGTGCGGATCAGCGGTAACGCCACCCTAGATGGAGCATCCGCTGAAATGATGTTCACAATGGGATCATGGACCTCCACAATCTCCTCCACCTGGAGGTCCATATTGCGAGCCATGCGGCGCAGCAGGTCCTGGTGGGCCCGAAGGTCTATAGGAGGCGGCCCAATGGCGGATGTACCCGCTACGGCCTCATCAGGCGAGGACGAGGAGGATGCCCCCAGTGGCAAGGGGTCCAATGGCTGATCCTGCTCCAGGTGTTCCTGGAGCTGGGCATCGCCTGCCCCCTGGTCCATGGCCTCTGCCGGTGTGGGCACTGGAGCCTCCACGCCCCTTGGAGGAGGGCGGGAGATGGTGGACTCTGGGACCCTGGGCTCAGAACGGCCCGAGCGGGAGGCAGATGGCGGAGCCCCTTGTGCCTGATGGTAGGCCCACGGAGTCCAGAAGGACCAATGCGCAGGTCCCTGCGTAGGGTCCTCGGTCTCCTGCAGGTGGCCGACCTCCACTGCATCCGACGAGCGCGATGCCGATCTCGACGGCCACGGCGGTGCCGAGCCCGACGCCGTCGGCACCGGATGGTACGGTGCCGATCGGTGCCGGCCGTAAGGCGATCTGTCCCTGTGTGGTGCCGGAGAGCGGTGCCGGGATCTGGATCGGTGCCGGTAGTCCCTCCGGTGCCAAGATCCCGATCTGGAGCGGGACGACGATCGCGAAGAGGCGTGGTACCGGGAGCGGCCCCTCGAGCCCGAGTGGCACTCGTACCGGTGCCGGGAGCTGCGTCTCGAGCCCGATCGGTGCCGGTCTTCGCGACGGTGCCGAGATGTTGAACGGCGCCGCGAAGATGATCTGGGCCGCGAGTATGACCGGTGCCGAGGTGATATTCGGCGCCGGGACTCCGAGCGGCGTCGGGACCTGCTCCGAGACCTGGAGCGGTGCCGAGAGACTTGAGCTGGTGACGGTGGGCGCATCAGGGCAGGCTTGCCTCTGGACTGCGGCACGCGTGGAGCCACCGGTGCCGGGAGTTGTGACGGCGCCGGCTCCGTGAGGGCGATCAGGTCTCTCGCCGTAGCAAAGGTCTCCGGGGTGGAAGGGAGACAAGGTTCCACCACCAGCCTTGGTGGTGAAACAGTCCGCACCGGACTCAACGGCCTCGGTGCCGGAGTCGACGGTGTGGCCGCCTGCCTTTGGCGGTCCAACTGCGGACGCGGCTCTACCCCCGGCACCAGGGGAGCCGGTATCTTCACGGCAGCAACATCCCGCGCCTTGGTGGCCTTCTTATGGCCCGGAGAAAGGGATCGGCACCGAGGCTCTTTAGGCGGGCGCGGTGCCGACGTCGGCCGGTGCCGAGCTGTCTTTTCCGCCGCACCGGTCGGGGCCGCCGGGGCGCTGCGCACCGAGGCGCTCGGTGCCGGGGCTGGGCGCGCCGAGGGAGGATCCGGGCTAAGTGCCGCCTCCATGAGGAGCTGCCGAAGCCTAAAGTCCCGCTCCTTCCTTGTCTGAGGCTTGAAGGCCTTGCAGATTTGGCACTTATCTGCGTGGTGGGATTCCCCGAGGCACTTCAAGCAGGAGGTGTGCGGGTCGCTCGTGGGCATAGGCTTCGCACAGGAGGCGCACTGCTTGAATCCAGGAGCCTTGGGCATGAGCCCGGCGAAGCGCCGAGGGGAAAAAAAGGGGGGGGGGAACGACCCCCTTAATCCCCAGTTGACAGTTTAAACTACAAAACTAACAATAACTATCTAAAAACTTCTTAACAACTATAAACAACTCTAAACAACTATCTAGACTAATGAAAAACGAGTAAAGCTAGGGAGTGTGGAAATCAGCTATGCCGCGCTCCACAGTTCCAACGACCGTCAGGGGCGGTAAGAAGGAACTGAGGGGGCGCTGGGTCGGCTGGGGTATATATCCAGCGCCATAACGGCGCCACTCCAGGGGGCTCCACAGCCGACCCACCGGGTGTTGCTAGGGTAAAAATCTTCCGACGATCGTGCACGCGGCGCGCACACACCTAACTGGAATGGATGTGAGCAAGCACTCGAAGAAGAATGTAAGGAACCATTCGGAAAAGGATAATGCCTCTATATAAATCCATGGTGCGCCCACACCTAGAATACTGCTTGCAGTTCTGGTCACCCCATCTTAAAAAAGATATACTGTATTAGAACTGGAAAAGGTACAGAAAAAAGCAACAAAAATGATTCGGGGCATGGAACAGCTTCCGTATGAGGAGAGATTGAAAAGACTAGGACTTTTCAGCTTGGATAAGAGACGACTAAGGGGCGATATGATTGAGGTCTGTAAAATCATGACTGGTGTGGAGAAAGTAACTAAGGAAGTTTTATTTACTCCTTCACATAACACAAGAACCAGGGGTTACCCAGTGAAATTAATAGGCAGCAGGTTTAAAACAAACACAAGGAAGTATTTCTTCACACAACGCACAGTCAACCTGTGGAACTCCTTGCCAGGGGATGTTGTGAAGGCCAAGACTATAATGGGGGATAGGTCCATCAATGGCCAGAAGCTGGGAATAGACGACACGGGATGGATCACTCGATAAGTGCCCTGTTCTGTTCATTCTCTCCGGGGCACCTGGCATTGGCCACTGTGGGAAGACAGGATCCTGGGCTAGATGGACCATTGGTCTGACCCAGTCTGGCCGTTCTGATGTTCTAACTCAGACAGCTGCTCGCTGGCCTGTGTGCAATGCAATTGGGGCCTCTCAGTCCTGTCCCTTGTGGAGACATCCCCACAAGTGGCACTAGCCGGCTCCCTTGCAGGCCGGGGTGGGTCGGAGTATGTAAATGGGAGGAGGCAGCGTATCTGGGGAAACTGACCTACAGCTGCCCCGATAGAAAAAATCTCCTGCCCCCAGGGCTGAGCCCAGCCTTTCAGCAGGTGATCGGCAGATCTGCCTGTGCCCGTGTCAGTGACTCATTTGTTGGTGTTTTCATCCTGTTCGGTGAAGGCTGAGAACATCATGTTCCTGGAGCTGGACCTCTCCCCCCCAGCTGTGTTTGAATTTGAGCTGACCGGGGACCAGGGCGAGCATGACCCACGAGCTCTGCACCTTGAGAGACTGATGCGCCTGGATAGTCTCCTGGAGCGGCCGGCAACTGCCAGGGTGAGGAAGTCCCGATCCTGGTGAGTGTCCGCCGGGGTGAAGTGAAAAACAGCCTGATTCTGATGCCTGCTGGCGCTGAGTGGGGTGAACGTGAGGGCTGAAGGGAGGCAGGGACCTCCGAATGGGGTGGAAGGGGCAGAGCGGAAATGAGCAGCTGTGAGGTCCCCACTGATCTGCCAGGGAATAATTAATAACCAGTTGCATTGAAATAACAACCCATCTGTTCCGTGCCTGGCACGTTTGTTGCTGCTGGGGCGTCTGTTCTTCAGGCTGGAGAATCAGAGAACAAGGAAGCTCCAAGCACGTAGGAGGAGAGAAAAGCAATCCCCTGGTCACTGCTTTAGGGCCCTTTCCCTGGTGAAGTCTGCGGGGGGGGATGCGCTCATGTGTACAGCTGTCACATCACCCCCCTCTGCCTCTATTACATGCCCACCTCCTGGGGACTGGGGAGGGGTCACTCGATGCCCACACAGCACCGGCCAGAGGGAAAGCACTCTGTGCCCGTGCTAGGTTTTCTTAGCAAATGGAAGCAGCAAACTCTGCCGATGCCCAGGGCCCCACAGAGATGACAAGCTCGTTATTGGACTGGTGGGACCTCATCCTGCCCAAACCAGGCGGCTTCAAGGACACGGGGGCTTTTTACATGTCCAGAGCCTCTGCACGAGTCTAGAGCAGGTCTCTGTCCGTGAGGCCCTACCAGACTCCCTGCGCTAGGGACCCGAGTCTCATCGGTCACAGCAAACGCTGCCCATCATTGCCCGGCCTTGAGACGCCTCAGCCGGATTGAACCATTAGTCCTGACAAGCCAGTGGTTCAGAGCTGCCAGCTTGATAAAGAGCCGGCATTGGTGCCAGGGCAGGAAACCGCTTTCCATCCAAATTTTAGTGTGAGTTTAACAATCCCAACAAGAACCTGGGACCAAAATTTTCAAATTTGGGAGCCTAAAGTTTGGCACCTAGATTGACTGAGTTCTCCAGTTCCTGGTGGATAAACACTAACGGTAGTTTTGTAATCTTTAAACCAGTGTTAAAAGCAGGATGACAATGATACCAAACATTACAGGGTCTCCCATCCCACAACCTGCGCCACTAAAATGCAGCCTCCTCTGGCCTGGAGCGCAGCAGCTAGGTACACAGCGGGCAGGTAACTTCATGGAACTCAGTGTACCTCCCACTTGGCTATGAAGGGCAGACCTGACCCTGCTGTGAATTGACCCTGTGATTCAAAGGGAGTTTCATCCTGATGTTGCAGCATTTATTCCGTCCCCTCTAGCTTCACATGAGTTTCCTTTATAGCACCTCGCTGAACAAAATGGCTGGCGCTTCCTGTTAGTGGCCCTGGCGGGGAGGCGGGAGAGAAGTGGGAGGAGGTGGGTGATGTGACAAGAGACCAGTTTTTCTCTTTTTCTTGTCCCACTCTCAGGTGCCAGACGCCCCGGCCGCTGCCACCCTCAACAACTCACGGTTCCCTGGCGGCCGTGTCCCAGCGGCCCCCCACGATGCCAGCTCATGAATGACGCCCTGCAGCTCCTCCCTTCCCTTCCATCTTATAGCAAGGACTACGCCACCCATCACTGGCTGCTTCCGAAAGCGCTCGGCCCGGGAAGGGGATTCCTTGCTGGTGGCCTCCCGCCCGGTCCCATCTCGTCTTTGTCTTCAGCTACTTCTTGTGTGTGTGTGTTTGTGTGAGACACTCGGCATCGGTTCCCGGGGACACGGGCGCTGCCTCCCTCCCCCCATCCGGATCTGTCACTTTATTTATTGATCGTATTTATTTATGAAGCAGTTTGGCAATGCAGAGTTAGGAGACGCGTTCAGAATAAGGCGCAGCCCAGGCTGGTGGGGGGCACCATGCAGATTTCTCCCTTCTACTACCCCGGCATCTTGTTTAAAGCAGGAGCCAGCCGCAGCCCGTGTCACTGGCAGACTGCCCACCCCCAATGCACAGTCACCTCCTCAGAGGGGGAAACAAGCCGAAGACGGGAAAGGAGCTAAGCCCTCTCTCTCTGTTGGCTTTCTTGTGAGATGAGACCACTCAGAGCTCTCCATGGACTCCGCATGTGGGGTGGAGGTTTCCTTTGCCAGATTCCCTGGGATACCCCACGAGACCCGTGCACAGGCTGACGGCCGCTCCCACAAGTGTTTGGGGCTTTTCTGGCAGCTGGGCCTTGCGTTTGCTAGCCACGGACGAAGAGCCACTTCCTGTGCCGTATCGACAGCAGCAGCATTGACGTCTCCTTGAGTTCTGGGCTCAGCTCTCACCCCATGATGAACAAAGGGGGTATGAATTAACCAAACCGAGCCAACAGGGGGAGCTAAAGCTTTCCAGTGAACCTGGGACTTTGCTCGCCAACGGCACCGTTTGGCGATGGCTGGGCCTGCCCCATTAAGTCATCTGACGTCCACCTTGGTTCACAGTCCCTCATTGGGGTGGAGCAGCCAGTGGGAATCTCCCGTTCTCCCCAAAGAAGTGCACAGAGGCTGGAGAACAACATTATCTACTTGGAAACTGACCTTGCAGGTCAAAGCAGAAATGAAAGTTTCTACTGTCCTTGGCAGCTAGAGGGAAAGAATCAGTGAAGGGCAGACGAGCCGGTGCCAGGAGAGGTAACTTGAACACACCTATCCCTTGCACTGGCTACCTGGACTGGGTGTTACAAGAAGGTGTTAATCTGCTAGTCTCAAGAACATCTTTGGTCTGGTGCAGGGGCTGTGGAGGAGAGCAGGGAAGCTGGTAAAAGAAGGAGGGACAAGAGGCGAGGGATAGCTCAGTGGTTTGAGCATTGGCCTGCTAAACCCAAGGTTGTGAGTTCAATCCTTGAGGGTGCCATTTAGGGAACTGGGGTAAAAATCTGTCTGGGGATTGGTCCTGCTTTGAGCAGGGGGTTGGACTAGATGACCTCCTGAGGTCCCTTTCAACCCTGATATTCTATGAGGCGAGGTGCTTTTGTCCAGTCCTGAGGAGGAGGATTAAAACATGGCTCCAGCAACAGCATGGGCGTCTACTGTTAGAACAAAGTTCAGTGCTCCTGAGTGTGTCGATGTTCAACAGTTCAGCTGAGGGCAGGTGCGTCTTCACCTGAGACCTTCTGGGTGGATGTGCCAGGCCGCTGGGTGAGCATAGACAGTTTGGGCTCTTGGATAGTTTGCAAAGGTGTAGTGCTGGGGGGTGGGGGGGGGGGGGGGGAGAGAGATCAAAGACCTTTGCAAGATCATAGTCAATGAGAAAGTGATTTATCTGGTTCACTCAAGAAGACTTGGGTTATGAAATTGTCCTTCCACGTTTCCTGGTCTGAGGCCAGCACCCTGCTGGAGCAGAAGAAGGAGATGCGTCCTGGAATCCAGATGACTGGGCTTGAACTAGGAAATCCTAGGAGGATATGAGGGCTGGCCCCATAGAGTGTATTGTTGTGAGACCAAGGGAGTTTCTCATTAGGGTCTGGCCACTGCCTGTCTTGTAGCCTTCTGCACTTACGACTGCTTCCCTCTCTCCCTGTCTCAGTGTCACTGCTGTTTGCCTCTACCACGCTCTCTAAACTTTCTGCTCCCAAGTGCGCAGCTGTTGAAACCCACAGGCCATTGAACTGTGGCGGGAACGGAGGAGTGGGAAGGGCTGGGGCCTCACTCAGCTTTCAGAGGGGAGACACCAACAGCATCTTATTTCAAAGACTTTGAGGGCTACATAAAGGGGTGGGGGGAGGGTCACTGCAGGGATCACTTGGTAGCAAATCCCTGCATCATGGGAATCAGCTAATTAGTCTCCCCAGATTAAGGGCTTCGTTTGTACAGATTAGAGAAGAACAAACCATTGCTGAGTCAGCTTTCCATTTAGTCCCCAGGTCACGGATGGGTAAAGCATGGCCTATGAAGTCCCCAGAACTCAACAACAGGGCCTTCAACCACCCTCTTGTTTCATATCATGGTGTAGCCCATGGAAGCTGCAGGCTTCAATGCTGTCTTTCAGAGTGTAGCAGCCCTGCCCCACTGCCTGCTGGGACCTGGAGTCTCAGCTGGCCACATGTGCCTGTTTAAAGATGAAGCCAGCTGCTACTTTCTCCAAGATGCGTTCAGGCTCCCAACCAGCCAGCATGAAGCTTCCCATGTAGGCCCCCTGCTTCTGCATTACCAGGGTCAACAATGCTTGTGCATTATCACTACCAACACTTCTCTCTAGCGCTCGCCCCTTTCACCAGCTTCTGACAGAGGATGGATGGCACTCGTTGTGCCTTGCATCACTTCAGATGATGTGGGTGTGTAAAGCTGGTGAGAGAAGCCGCAGCTCTCTGACCGAGGTTAGAAACTAGCCCTGCCCATCTGCAGCGAGTAGAAAAGCTAACGAAGCAACCCGAAAAAGCACATTCAAGTGAGGGATCCATGAGATCGCGTTCATGGAAGATCCTCCATAGGACTGGGGAACGGGCTGCCATAGAGCAGTGCCAATCACAGGGAGTGTCAGGGAGAGGAGCAAGGGGAGGGGAGAGTGAAAGCTGGGGCGCATTCCTACTCTCTGTTGCCACGGAGATGTCCCTTCTCCAAAGACAGCGCCACACTGAAGGTATCAAAGACAGGCTCAGTCCCCCTTGGACTTACCCCACACTTACCAAATGGAGCCCTGGGCTGCAGGAGGAAGGATATAGACTGAAAAGTGGGGGCTCCATGTACCCCCTTAGATATGCTAGTGGCTCCCCGATTCTCCCATCTCCATGCTAAGTAGTGGGGCTGGGGAAGCAGAGACCTGGCCTAGTTATATGTGGATGGGGGGCAGGCAGGTGATCAGATTTTGTGGGATGGAACTGGCAGAGGCTACAAATGGGGAGCTGCTGGCAGACTCCTTGGGGGTGGACAGTTCACTCTTCATCTGCTGCAAAGGTCTGCAGCTGATGGATGGATCTAGACTGTTCTCAGTGGTGGCAGATGACAGAACAAGGAGCAATGGTCTCAGGTTGCAGTGGGGGAGGTCTAGGTTGGATATCAGGAAACACTATTTCACTAGGAGGGTGGTGAAGCACTGAATGGGTTACCTAGGGAGGTGGTGGAATCTTCATCCTTAGAGGTTTTTAAGGCCTGGCTTGACAAAGCCCTGGCTGGGATGATTTAGCTGGGGATTGGTCATGCTTTGAGCAGGGGGTTGGACTAGATGACCACCTGAGGTCCCTTCCAACCCTGATATTCTATGATTCTATGATGGTTTCTCATTCCTGCTGCCTCACCCTAGAGCTTGGCCCATAATGTTGTGAAAAAGCATGGGGGTCTGTGCTGGTTTAACCTGAGAGATTTGCTTCTTTACCTCACCCAGAATCAGGGCACCTGCCTCAGGAGCCCCAAACTCGGTAAACTTCTCTCCAGGCTAGAGGAGAGAGCTAACGTGGAGGGTGAGCAGCTGGGAATGATTGCATAGGCAACATGCCAGGTGAAGGAGCGTATCTCCAGCACCATCCATGGGGAGTGACTCGGGCTCCAACCCTCCTCCAGGGACATGGGTGGGTCAAAAGCAGCTCCCCACCCATATGCACCCAGGGCAGGTGTGTTCCATTCCCAGCTCCAAGAACAAAACCTCTTCTCCCCCTTTACGGAAGAGGAACTTGAACTAGCTGAGGCAGCTGCAGAACAACGTCTCTCACCTTCCATTCCCACATTGCCTTGAACGCACAGACTCGGGATGCCTGATTTGCAGGATTGCGTGCGCCCCTGGATGTAGCTTCAAACACAGCCAGCGAGAGCTGCTGGATTTTCATTCGAGCACCAGATACAGTGAGTGTGCTGGAAATTGGCTGAGCTAGACACACAAGGGCACCTGTAGACAAATGCAGTTGCCCTTTAGCTCCTGTCCATCCATTTCTAGGACTCTGGCACAGGCCAGTTTGGTAGTGGTAGATACCCAGTTTTAGACATGCTGACCTCTGGGCCTGCCCACCCACCCTTAGCATAGAGACACCCCTGCTCTCTTCTTTCGCATGGCGTATAGGGTGGGTAAGTGCAGACGGGTCACTAGCCTGCCTGTCAAGGGCTAAATACCATCTCCCACCGCATCTTGTGCAGCCTGTTTGCCCTCCGGAGGTTATTTTCTGTGCCGTGATGAAGCACAGGACCCAAACAGGATTACAGCTGTGATGGGGCCCATGTGAAAACTCTCCAGTCGTCTCACCTGCTCTCATTAAGAAACCTCCCCTGTGGGTTGGAAATTTGACACAGACACTTTGGGGTCACGTCTCACCACTTGGCCAGCTTTGAATTTTGATTTTGACCTAAGAAAACTCCCCAGGCAGTGCCCCCAATCGATGGCGTGCAGACAGCTCTGTGTGTGCGTGCGCATGCGTGCCGGGGGTGGGGCTGAGCTCTCAATGCCTAAGTGCCGCTTTGACGCATCTGTTGCGCGTGAACGTCTGAAAATCTCGCGCACTGCCGATCTGCTGCTGCCAGGAACCTCACGATCTTCTTAGCACAAAAACCAAGTAAGGCTGTAAATAAACACATTAGTTAAGATGAGAACCACAAAGCTAGCAGTGGTGTCTGCCCTCTGCCTTGGTACGAGGGGCTGGATCACTCCCACAGCCTCACTGCGTTGCTGCAACAACCTCAGATGTATATTTCTATTGTTCTTTGTATGTTGGTATGTAAGTATTTACATAGGAACGTATGTAGGTGTGTGCGGGCGTGCGTGTGAGTCACCAAGGGGACTATTTACCATCAGTGTGAGCGATGACAGGGGGCAAATTCCAGAAGGGGGTAGCAGGTTGGTATTTTTTTTTAATTGATCAGCTGATTGACTGACAAGGTGAGGGCCTTGATTAGGACCAAATTTTTGTGCCTGTTGTTATGGTGATTTATTTAGGAATCAAAAGTTTCCTGTATGGTGGCCCGTCCTTGTCACTCTATACATATGAATATACAGGACATATAAATATATATATATATTATACATACTGTGCTGGGAAAGGTCATTGTCCTCACACCCCCTCTGGCTTTGGATGGACACTTCTTCAATACTCTGTAAGGTAGCTTTGACGTGGTGCTGGAAATGAACAAAGTGCCAGCACCATTCAAAATGGCAACAAGGACAACAATAAAGGAATGAGCATCATTGCAAAGACGGCTGCTGCCTCATTCATTCGTGGTTTTTTCCCAAACAGGGACCCACCAGAATCGTGGCAGGGGAACTTAAATAAACAGTTGCACGCAGCATAGCCGCTAGACAGCTCAGGGTGAGGTTAAATCTTCAGCCGCAGTGATGAGAGCAAGGGAGTTGGAATTAGGAGACCTGGCTCTGCCGTTTATTCGCTGTGTGAACCAGGGCAGCCGTAACTGCTAACAACATTCATGCTGCAGCATTTTTACTAATGCCCCTTAGTAGCATTGCTGGGTGATTTACAGAGACACGGTCCCTGCCCCAAAGGCTTTACAGTCTCAGTTGGACAGAACGTGAAGCCCGACGAAGGGTGGGGCTAGGGAAAGGAGGGATGATGTGTGAAGAAGGGAACAGATGGGAGGACAAGAGCATAGAAGCAGGACAATATGGTCTGCAATACAAATAACACTAGGCAGGATCCACAGACCACTCCGAGGCTGCGGGTTGAGCGATTGGGAGGATGGTGGAGTTCTCAGCAGTGATGGGAAAAGCAGTGAGAGGAGCAAGGCTTGGAAGGAAAAACTAAAGGTCATTTTTTGCCATTTTTTAGTTTAATTAAGTGTTGAGACACCCTAAGGAGATTTTGGGGCAACAAGAAGGGCTGAGAACCGGGTGAGAGGGAGAGGGCAGGGCAGGGCAGGAGAAATAGATTGGTGGGTTAGCAGCACAACATGGCAATTGCAAGATTTAA